CGGCAGCGATTTATGTCTGATAACATCTGGGGGTATCCTGGATCCAGGAGTGAAGCCGGAAGCAAAGCAAAGCAGCTTATTTATATACCGCTTCATATCACGCTATGGGATGTCTAAGCGGTTTACAACTGTGAGCTGATTGCCCCCCAACAAGCTGGGTACTCATTTTAGCGACCTCGGAAGGATGCAGGCCTGAGTCGAGCCTCAGCCCTGGCTGGTATTGAACTCGCAACCTTGTGGTCTATGAGTGAGTGGCTGCAGTACAGGCATTTAACCACTGCGCCACCAGGGAAGAGGTAAGCTGGCTTAATTTGGAGAGTGGTAAGCTCCTAGGACTCTTATCTTGGCCAGGAAAATCCACTGGGTGACCTTTGGTAAGTCACACTCTCTCAGCCTCAGAGGACGGTCATGGCAAACCTCCTCTAAACCAGTCTTGCTAAGAAAACCCTATGATAGGCTCTCCATACATCGGAAACGACTTGAAGGCATGTAGCAACAACAAACAACAAAGCACAGGAGTTGTCACACACACACACACACACACACACACACACACACAGAGTGTATTGTGGAAGTGGACGCATCCCCTCATCCCAGGACATCTCCCACCAGTCATGTGCAACACAAGGGGCACCCTCACACTACAAAGTTATAGCACTGTGATTCCATTTTAACTGCCATGACTCCATCCTATGGAGTTTTGGGATCTGTAGTTTACAGAGGGGGTAAGCTCTGCAACTAAAACAAACCAAGCCAGTGCTCTTCTTAGAAGAAGCTGAAACAACTATATTGAAACTACCATACTTTTGACATAACATGGGAAGGCAAGACTCGCTAAAAAAGATAATATTGCTTAGTAAGGTAGAAGGCAGTAGGAAAAGAAGAAGACCCCATTCCAAATGGATAGATTCATTCAAGGACGCCATGGCCCTAAAGTCTGCAAGACCTGAGCAGGGTAGTTAAAGATCGGGTGACTTGGAGGTCTCTCCTTTGTAGGGTCGCCATAAGCCGAAGTCAGCTTGACTGCAGTTAAGAATAACAAAGCTCTGGTTAGTACCATACTACCAGTAGTTAAAAACTACCAATGAAAAAAATAGTCTAAACCACTGTAATCAAAGAGAGAATAACCATAAAACAGTCAAGATCAATAAATGAATAGTAAACATCAAGAGTAGAATTGACATATTTATAACTGAACACATGGGGGGATTAAATTATCATCACCCGGGGCTGCAAAGCTAGTAAAATAAAATTGTTAGATACATTAGTCAGGGCCAAAATACCCTGAAGGCACCAGATCCTGCCCAATATTGGGAGTTAAGCAGCGCCAATCCTGGTTAGTATGGTTGGCCCGCCCTAACCATGGGCTTGCCATCCGCAGATTTGAGCATCCATAGATGGCCCTGACCCATTGACCCCAATAGTGGCCGCACCACTGCGGCCACACACACAGCACAGCCATTGAAACCAACAGAACTTGATGTCCCACAGTTTTTGGCATGGGGGGGGGGCATTCCAGAACAGAAGCCCATAGATACGAACGGCCGAATATACTTGGATGTGAGATGCCAACAAATACTAGATGCTGTAGTCTATATTTCAGAGGAAGGATCTGGCAAAACGACCTCTGAGTATGCCTTGCCTAGGAAAACCCTATGAAAAATAAATAAATTCATGGGCTTATCATAAGTCAACAGACGACTTGAAGGCACACACAAAAACACACAGACACACTTAAAATTGTCTGCAAGGAAACTCTGGTTCCTTCCCGAAGTGCAAACTCCGGGATAGCATAGGATGCAGCCCTGGCAGTGCAAGAGAAATCCTAATGATGTAAATGTGTGGTGTGAAAGGACCAAAGGAGCCAGTGCTTCTGCTGATGGACTGTTGTGTCATGGCTACGGGAACAGGGAAGCCAGATGTCTTAACCGCAAAGGAAGACAAGACGTGGCAAAATGTAGGACATTCAAGAAGATGGGAGGATATGCCAAATAAAAGCTAAAAACACTCATAGAAATATAAATTCTTGCTTCTGAGTTATGCTGCAAATGGAGGATATTTTGGAATTCCTCCTGGACAGAAGGCTGAAATGGAGGATATGTCCTGGAAAAGGAGGATGTCTGGTTACCCTGGACTGGGAAGTGTTTGGGATAACAAAGTACATTTTGTTCAGCCTGAGCACAACTTTGCTATAACTAGAGTGCTTTGTACTGTTGTAGGAGGATTCTACACGAAAGGGAGAAACTTTCCAAATATCATGCAAGCATTTTCTGGTTCTGTAATTATGACAGTGACTCAGGATATATATAGGAGACATACAGAATATATATATTCTGTAATTATGACAGTGACTCAGGATATATATATATTTTGCTGGTCCAATTAATATATGAATTACTAGCCCCGTGCCAAAGTTATGCCTTGATTGTTGGAAATGAAATTTAATAAAAAAAACATTGCCATTCCCTTCAGCTAGTGCAGCCTGTTCTCTGTTTGTTCTTCTTCTAATTCTGTATGTCTACACATCAATGTATGTAGAGGAAGGAAGAGTGAAGATCAGAGGAAAGAACGTTAACAACCTAAGACATCCAGATGACACCATAGTACTAGCAGAAAACAAAACAAAAAAAAAAATACCTGGAAAAATTAGTGAAGAAAGTCATGAAGGAAAGTGGTAAGGTAGCCTTAATGTTGAACATTAAGAAAACAAAAATAATGACCATAGAAGATCTACAGAAATTCATCCTAGATAAGGAAGAAATTGAAATAGTTAAAGACTTCCCATACCTTGAATCAGTCATTGATCAGAATGGAAATTGCAGCCAGAAAATCAGAAGACTTGGCAAAGGCAGCTATGAAAGAACTAGACAAAATCATAAAAAGCAAAGATATAACACTGAACACTAAAGTTAGTCCAAGCCATAGTATTTCCCATCACCACGTATGAATGTGAGAGTGAAATGAAGTACGGATCCCTCTCAAATTTATTGGCAAGATTTGTTCAGAGGAGGTTTGCCATGTCTTCTCCTGAGGCTGAGAGCATGTGACTTGTCATAGAGTTACCATAGCTCAAAGTCAGAGGCAGATAACAACAGCAAAGTCCAGTGCTTCTCGAAGGCTTCTCCAGAAATTGCTGTAAAGGATTTTAAGTGGCACATGTAAAAGCGATTTTTTATATATAAATTCATTCCCACCTGTTAGCATACACAACACTCCCTGCACTGTATATGGGGTTTCGTATTTTCATATCTGGAGCCAGGCATGTTTTAAGAGGTCTTTAAGAGGACCTTTGGAACACTAGGAAGTTTTCCATGGGAAAGGCACATTGGCCCAAAGACATGTGAAGGATCTAGGTAATATCAAAATAAAGGTTAAATGGGTTTGCTGATCACTCCGTCCTTTCCACATATCTTGCACTGGAAACAAAGGTGGCCCCATTGCACTAAGGTGAGGAAGGGCTTCTACAGCCATCGGCCACCCCAAGAAGCTGCAGATTGGGACCGAGGCTGCCCCACGCTTCGGCCCCAATCCGTCCTTATGCTGCCTCTGAAAAGGAGTGCTAAAATAGTGCTCCTTTCAAAGGACCCAAAAGGGGCACCGGAAGAGACGCTGGGCGCCTCTTCCGTGCTCCTTCTGGCTCAGCATGTTGAGACACTGAGCTAGAAGGACGTCATCCAATTATGTCCTCGAGAAGGGGTTGGCACCCGGCGTCCGGCTGCCCCTCCCCTTCTCTGGCTCCAAGACAGTGCTTTGCGCCATCTGCATCCCCCCAAAGACCATATCTCCTACCTACCCCCCTACCCCCTGCCATGTTCCTAGCTGCCTTCCATGTCCAGCTATCTTGGGGTTTTCCTAGACCCAATCACTGTTTTGTTAATCCAGAGTTAAGACCATCTACTGAAATTGCCTTTTTGTCAATCCCATGAGAAAGCCTTCAGACTCTTTGTAATTCATGTGGGAATGTTAAGTACTCCTTGAGAGCACCAAACACAATATAAATATCCACTCTACACATTTCCCATTTGGGACTGCAGTGAGCAACCACCAGAGTACCCTCTTCCCATTTCACCCTCAGATGTTGTCTGAGCCGCACCTCGCTTTCCATGGATTCCTCTTCAGGACTGGTAGATATCACCCTTTCTAAAATCCTAAGCCTCTGCTATCCAGTTTCCCTACCTTCGTTTCAGTTAGCTTTGTATGGTGTCTCAGATTGAATTGGTACTGTGTGTTTGTGTGCTATCTTGCATATTTCTAAATAAAAACCTTCATTCATTCAACTTGGAGTCATCCTGCAGCTAGTACTGGTATACATAGGTGAAAATCATCCCTTAAGTTACCCAATTTCTCAAAGGCCTCCTTTGAACCAAGCAATTCCCCCAACATTTAAAGAGATGCTGATACAGTTGGTGGGAACCCTCACCCCCCCCCCAGCTTTTTGTGTAACATACCCACCCACCCCATATTTAATATGCAACCAGCTCAACACAACAAACACTATTACACTTTAAAATAACTTCCCACTGCCTACCCTATGGTTTATTTTAGCCATTTGTTACATTCCCACCTTATTTAAATTTCAGATTACAATGGGGGGTTGCAGACTGCCAGAAATAGTGCAAATTGAGTCCACTTCTAGGGTTAGGGTTAGTGTTTTTTTTTTTCTGAGACATTGAGCCTTCTCTGTCAGAGAGCTCTGGTGCCACAATAAAATACAGTTCCCATGATTCCTTAACCCTAACCCTAAAAGTGGACTCAATTTGCACTATTTCTGGCAGTCTGCAACCCCCCCAATGTCCCTCAATCCTAAATGAATAAAATATTACTTATAATTTGAAACCTGCAAAAGTTGCCATTCCTTCTTTTTCTTGTCTGTACCGCAAAAATTGATTCCACTCTTCTACAAACCTGTATACTGATTTCTCTTTCAGTAACCATAGTTAATTAAAGGGATCAAACTTTTTAAAGCTGATATTTTAGCTTGGTAGCTGCTTCCAGTGAGAGCCAGCGTGGCAGAGTGGTTTGAGCTTTGGACTATGACTTTGGAGATCAAGGTTCGAATCCAGGCTTGGCCATGTAAATCCATGGGGTGACCTTGGGCAAGTCACACTCTCTCAACCAAAGAGGGTGGCAATGGCAAACCCCCTCTGATTAAACTTGCCAAGAAAACTTTATGAGAGGTCCGCCATAAGTCGGCTAGCTGTTTCCAGTGGTATACACTTTATAAATAAAGGTTGCACAGAGAACTCAGAAGCTCTGCATTATAAATATTCCCTTTTTGAAACAATCATAACAAAAAGATCTGGCCCATAAAAATTGGGAGCTTTGGCTTCTAGCCTGGTCTTCTCTTTGCAGCAGCTCTCTGGATGCCTTTGGCCTTTCCTCTGAAGCCAAGCCTCCTGCCGGGAAAGGAGTACTCCAAACTTGTTTTTGCTACAAAAGGGAAGGAAAGCTGATCGGAAGGAAGGAAAAGTTTCCCCCTTGCCTCTGTTTACCAACCAGCTCTGTCGGTTGCTGGAGCAACCAAACATCTGCATCATGCCTCCAGATGTTGCTGCAGCATCCAGATGCCATAGCAATGGGATGAGACAATGCAGAGAAAAAAGGCTCCCTGAGTTAATGGTGATTTAATGTGCATCACACGGAAAGGGAAGGGAGAAACAAGGGGGAGGAAGATGAAGGGAAAGCGGGGGACTAAACAGCCCCCAAAACATGCCTCCATCACCCTTTGGAACAACAAGACATCAGATTTTCCACACTCCCCCCAGGCTCAGTTTCTTGGTGTGTGATATTCCCCAAATTCATGGGCTGTGTTTCTCTGGGGGATTGGAGCCTATTCACAGATGACGGCTGACTGAACATCTTGTAATCTGTGAAGACGGTTGTTTACATGAGATGAAAAGGGGGGACAGTTTTCATTGTAGGTGGACATGCCAGTCCATGGGGAGGAGGAATTAAAAAAACAACTCTAACAGTCCATCAGAACTCGGATAAGTTACTTTCTCAGAATTCCTGGTTGAGATTCTGGGAGTTCTAGTCCCACAAAACCTTAAACTTTTCTAAGGTCTACAGTGGGAATGGACAGGAGATTCAGAATTATTTATCACCAAGTTGAAAAATTTGGTTTACCAACAATTAGGAAATCCCATCTGATGAAAAAACTAGCAAGAATTTGGGGCAGTTTTCGTCCTTGCCTCTGAACATCCTGAAGTATTTTGTTATTGTTTTTAACTGCCTTCGAGTCGATCTCAACTCATGGCGACCCTATGGATGAGACATCTCAAAGACCCTCTGCCCTCCACTGCTTTGCTTAATTCCTGAAATCCCTTAATACCCGTGACCTCCTTCATAGAGTCCATCCATCTGGCATGTGGCTTCCTCTCTTCCTCCTTCCCTTCATCTTCCCCAGCTTTATTGTCTTTTCCAAAGAGTCCTCTCTTCTCATGATGTGT